TCTCTTCACACACACACACACACACACACACACACACACAGTTTAACCCCTTACTCACACACCCCCGCCAACCCCACCCCTCAACACACACCATGCGCTTCGTCACCCCTCTGTGTGGTGACTAGACGAGTGGAACTAACAATCCCCACAAAAAGCTCTCAGCGAGGCGGACCAGACTGGACCTTCCAGGGAGCGTCTTTGTGTAGAAAAACCCATACAGATGCCACAGTGGGGACGCCCACTGGACTGTGAGACGGATTCACATAAGGACCAGTTTAAAATAATAATATCTCCCATTTGACTTGAGTCAGTAACTATTTTAACTACCAGTTCCGTCAGTTTTATTTTCGATTCATTGAGTATTGTTTTGCCCGTGTAAGATGCTTATGCCTTGAGTATGCTTGAGTTTGATATCAAATACGAATAATTAACCAGCACTTAATCACACTATAGCTGTCCTCTTTTGTCTTCATCGACTCATTGATGATTCCACCATCTGCTTCCGACCTTTGAGTTTCTCGACTAAAACAAGCTGGTGAGAAGAACTTGAGTTTTGAAGAATCTTGAAACAGAAGCATCTCCATGACAACCGGCCAAACATCATCCGCTGATGAAGACAGTGAGATTTGGTTGAAGGTTATTAGTTGCTAACAACACATTAACTGAGAAATTAGCATATCTTGGGAATCAGTGGGATATTATCTGCAGATGTAAATAATAATACAATAATAATAATAATACAGGGGGATAATACTTAATTGCATTCGGGGTTCCGCTGTGAAGTGCACGAGTCACACACTCCGCCCGGCTGTAATCACACATTCTGCATGGCCATATTTTCATCTTTTAAGAGGGCATATGACCTGCTAAGGTTCTTAAGTGACCAGCAAAACAAGTATGTATAAGCTGCTGTAATCCAGTCGCAGTGTTAAGTCAGACGACTGTTACTGGAAGATCTTGTGTTCATTCCTCCTAATGTTGGACTCATACTGCCTTTGTCTCCGTCTTATAAATCACCGCTCAGTCTGCAGGGTGAACGTGGGGCCCACGAAGTAGCTGTGAGGACCAACTAATTGCTGCAAAGTGATGGCATGTAGTCTTTTGTGGTGGAGCCCGTCATCCATCCCGGCACCTCCCTGCTGGACGGAGGAATGAAGTGACTCGCGGGGAGAACGGGAACTTTCTCCGCAGCTCTGATTCGAACACCTTTCAGTGACTGCGGGGCGAGGAGGGGGGGGGGGGGGGGGGTTGTGGAGTATTGTGAGTTGAACAGCAGAACCCCACTCTGGCTGAATGGGCATTGTCATCTGGATTTTTATGGGTCACCAAAGCCCCCGCCGCCCCCGTGGGGGTCGATGCACGCACGGTGGGAACATTACGCACAGCCGCGTGCGCATCATCACAAGTCAGTTGTATTGTTCAAGAACACACGTAAACTAGACCAATTCAAGACAATATATTCAGTTTAATCTTAATAAAATGACACAATATTGCATCTGCATATACACAAATAATGAATCATTACAGCAAAGGTCTACAAGCATAACACAAAACAAGATTTGTGACAAAAAGCGTCCTGCGGAGACGGTGTTGCAAAAAAAAAAGGAAATGAAAAGAAAAAGTTGCAGGTGCTCAGTGCAGCCGGGTTGCGGACAATAATAACACGTCATGTTGCCACCCACGGATCCCACACGCGGAATCTACACGTCCACATTTACGCACCGCAAAACCTCACGGTCCCGAAACATCACCAACAGCCCGCACGAGACTTTCCCTCCTTTGTCACATAGCTGGAGTCCTCGGCGCACTTGTTCCACGCGAGGAAGCGGCTGCTGGAACGCGTGGGAGTGAATTCGTTCACTGTTACTGTAAGAGTTTGTGCTGACGATGCGCGTTACGGTAAAAAAGAGAGAAGAAAACGTTTGCACTTTCAGCGGTAAACAAGTCAAGGCATAATCATTTTGAAGACATAAAAAAGCATGTACCTAACAGAGATACTCCTTTTTCCTGTGAGGTACATGCGTCTTCTAGTCGAACGTTTTTTGTAAAAAAAAAAAAAGAGAGAATCTCATGTAGATACAAAAAGGATTTGAAAATTTATGGTCCGAATGAATTGAAGGGCCAGAGTAAAAAAAAACGCAGATGTGCCTCCATTGATTTTTAAAGTTCAGATTTCTAAAAAATGTTTAAAAAAAAACTGCAGGTGAAAAGAACAGTTTTTTTTTCTTCAAATAGCTGCAGGTCAAGTTTTACGCGCCGCCGTGCGCGAGCCACGAGAGCTACACGTAGTTCCTCTTGTCGTACTCCCCGTTCGGCGTGGCTCTCTTGGTCGGCGCGTATTTCACCGAGTATCCGGAGCTGCCGCTGGACGGACAGGAGCAGCACAGCAGCGACCCCCCGATCAGCAGCAGCGCCGTGGCCGCCCAGCCGATGTAGATCGCGGCGCCGATCTCCCTCTTCTTGGACGGGGCCACCTGCGGGTTGTAGAAGTCCGATATGATGCTGTTGGCCATCCAGCAGAGGGGCACCAGCACGAACAGACGCTGACGATGAAACGACCCCTCCGGCGTTCACCACCCGGGCTTTGACGTACTCGGCGCGGATGCAGTTGGTGCACTGCGCGCCCGCGATCACATAACATGAAACACTAGTGAGCCATAATTGAAGAGAAGTTATAAACGTTTTGAACCCCGCAAGTTAGTGGTGAGGGGAGAGGACGGAGTCGTGCACCTTGCACTGCATCTGGCCCGTGCTCTGGACCACGCACGACATCCACAGGCCGTCCCAGATCGTCTGAGCCACCACGATGTTGGCCTCGATGAACGCCGTCACCTTCCACATGGGCAGCCCGCACGAAACCATCACCAGCAGCGTGCCTATTACGCACAGCGACAGTCCCATGAGCTCCAGTCCGGCGGACACCATTTTCGCTCTTTCCGGTCAGTCAGGTCCGTCTGGAACTTCTCAAACTCTCTCCCTAATGTATCTTCTTGAGTGCACAGGTGTATTTCTGCTCTCTCGGTTCTCGCCTCGAAGGAGCGTCGGTCGTTAGTTGCGCATCACTCACTGCATTTGGAGATGTGAGGGGCAGCGGCTCGGGGTCTCTTTGTTGGTGAGGCGACGTGAAAACCACTGGAATCTCAGCAGCACCGGACCACGAATATCTGCGGGGTGAGGAGGGGGTGCGGAGTCTATGGGAAACTTGTCGTCCAATCAGCTGCCGCCGCATCCTCGGGGGACCAATGAAAACGCAAGGAAGTTGTGAGGCTGAATAAAGCGGTCCAGAGCACATTGTGCGTTTGAACAGTTATTGACAATGAATGAGAGGAGGGGGGCAGGATAGGGGGCGCGCGGTGTGGTGGGGGTGTTCTGAGGCTCTGGAGATGAATACATGCAGTGGTCGGGTGATTCAAGGCACTTGTTGATTTTTCTTGTCTGCGGTGTACACGCAGCCTAAAGTGGTCATTTCACAGCCAATTGTGTAAGAGTTAGGGTTGCACAATTATATAGGGTCCGTCTTGAAATGACACAAAGGGAAGAAAGAAAAGAACACGTCATATTTATTTTAAATGCAGGCTATTCATAGTCTTTATGAATCTACATGGTTGGCCAGCGCACATTGAAATCATTAGATCGTTTGGATTATACAAATATGGTATTTACTTAATTCTTTCAAGTTGCTCTTGCTTTATTTATTTCTTATTTGAATTGTTGTACATTCATAACCAGCATTTTGTGATTATGGTTTACCAAACATAAAACGTCTGTACCATTGTATTAAATACTCATTATTTCATTCTTTTCCGGTGCTTTATGGACACGCTGTTGTCATCTATAAAGTGTAACTCTTAAATGTATTAAAACACTACCGAACATCAAATTCCACCACTGCCAATAATAACTAACGAAGTCATTCGGTGACAGGGTGAGAGTGGGCGGGCTTTACTGGGGTAAACAGTTACAGAAACTGTGACCCTCGGGTGGCCATCTTGGATCCGCAGCGGCGTCGCGTTTCCCGCGTCGGCTCCCCGCTCGTTGAGCCGTAATGGCGCCGGTGGCGCAGCAACAGGAGACCCCGTAACCACGAAGCCTTCAGCGGGACGAGGGCGGGGCCGACTCTTGGGAACCGTTTCCGGGTTTCCCTTCCTGGGCTGGGACGGCGGAGAGAAGCGAACGCTCCTGTTGATCCACCATTATTCAAAGTCGCTCTCAGGTAAGGAACTGCTCGGTGGTTTGTCGTTTATATCTCGACTAAATGTCTGAATGAGTCTGTTGATGTGGGAAGAAGGAGAAGAAGAAGGAGACTCGCCGGAGAGTCCGGTGGAGCCCCGCTGGCAACACGACACCACCCGCGGGAACAACTGTTGCTCGCGACAGTTTGGCGTGTTAACGCGGACAAAAGTTTCACCCGAAGTGGGTCCGTCATTCAAATCAGTCAAATATGTTCATGTGAATACTTTAATATTCATCCGCGCGCGTGGAAGCTGTCCCAGTGGACATTTGGTAAGTCTGGGACTGGGACAGGGACTGGGACAGGGTGTGGTGGACATCCAACTGTTCCCGAGGCCTTCAATCGCCCCTATGCAGTGACTTAAGCACCGATTTATGAAAGTCATATCATTTAATGCTTCCTCCACTTCAGATTCTCACAACAGCATTCAATGTTGTACATTTTTTTTAATACCTTTAAAAAAAAACAACAAAAAAACTCAATGCCTTTTTGAGCTCCATTATCGGCCATTGTTCCAGTCCATGTAACTGCAGGGAAACTCCCCACACTTCAGTTTATTCATATTCCTCCATCACAGCCGCACATGAAAGACTCCAAATCAGGCCGAGCGCCGACTCCCTCGCAGTTCCTGTCATTCCCGCTTTGTGATTTATAATCCTGGAACCCTGAAAATTCCTAAGTCTTAACTTCCGATTAGTCCATGACCTCATTGATTTGTTAAATAAATTTGGTCTTACTTACACAATAACTGCAGGGAAACAATAAGATATTTTCATTACGTGTCGGTTCTTAAGATGTGGCCGAGGGCCACCATTGAAGAGTTATCATCCATCTTTGCTTGTGTTTTTGGCTCCGTGAAAACATGAATATTTCACCTCCCTTTCCTGAGCGCAGAGCGCCGCGGCCGCAGAGGCCCGCTGAGCTGTAATCTCGGGCCGGCAGCTGCCCTTCTTTTAAAATCCAGAAACCACTCCGCTGCACCCAGATCAGTTCTCCGATGAGGTTACCGCTCTCTGACCCCGTCACCTTCATGTGACCTCGTCTGACGATCGGTCCCCGGGAAGTATTACAAGGGGACGTTTCCTCCCGCCCTGGGCTGTGAGACAGAGGCTTGAATGATTGGGGGTCACACCAGCAGGATACGTTTGCTCACAACAAACAACGGGCGAACCGAGCGCACGTTTCTAATAACCTGAGTACCAGATTCATTCTGAAAATCTTGTCCTGTTTGCTATTTAATTTACTCAAAGCAGGGGTGTCCAAAGTTGGGCCAGGGGGCCAATCACGGCCCGGTCAGATTTCATACGGCCCACAGCTTTGGTCTTATAATGTACCATTTATGGCCCGCTGGCACTGTTCAATACATCATAGCACTTTAACAGGCAGCATTACTTATAACTCCCGTTTAAAATTATCATGAGGTGAATATACGATCAGCTTCATGGAAGTTTAAGGTATTCCATATAGTTTAATTGAGAGGCAGATTTGTGTTTTTTATGGCGTTCGCGCCTGCCTGAGTGGCGTATATTGGACTGCATTGACATTTGAAAAATTGTTATCATTTGCATGTAAATTTCAGGGTTTAAAAATGTCAGAAGGGACTATTATTGTCCCCCGGCCATCTTCACATCATCAAATCTGACCCTCTTTGGAGGACTTAATAGACTAAACCATCACGAGGCGACTAAACCATCACATATAATATAATATGTGTATGAATAAACTAACTTTATGGCAACATTTCTTTCTGTAAACACATTGATTTTATCTTCCATTCTCAATGTCTTAAGAAAATAAATTAATATGATAAAATGTGTACCCTGTCTATCGCCCGAAGTTGGCTGGGATGGACTCCAGCCCCCCCGCGACCCTGTGTGCAGGATAAGCGGTTTGACGATGGATGGATGGATGGATGATAAAATGTGGCCTGTAACCCAGAACTGTACTGTGAGCAGCTGTGAGGAGCTCCGAGTTGAGACTCCCGCTTGTTTTCAGTCATTTCCTTGCCTGTCCCCATCCTCACCACGGGCCCGTCCTGTGCTTTGAACTGTGTGTGTGTGTGCGTGTGTGTGTGTGTGTGTGTGAGAAAGGCCTTTTCATTCCTCATATTGTGTGTTTCTTAAACCATAGCTTAAAGAGCAGCATCATATCTTTTATTACTGTCTCTCTTTGTGTGTCTCACATCACTTAACGTTGCCCTGGTCAGTTGCCAGTACTCTCTTGTTTTTGTTTTGGTGCCTCGGCGTTCACCGAATCTCTTTTGACTTTTTATGTCCCTAACGAGAGCAGAAAGGCTTGAGCCCACGGGGAAGCGGGGGGGTGGACCCTCGACGCCGCTTCCCTCCAGCAGATAAATCAACTGTAAATGGTTCACATGCTGAGCTCTTTGGCTCCACTAAGGGGGCATTTTCCTGCTTGGCCCAAACCTGTAAATCTCCCCCCCACGTCTTGGCCCGTGTGTGTGTGTGTGTGTTAAGTGGCCTTCATTAAGAGGGTCCTACTGCAGCGCGCCTCCTGCCTCGTCCGTCCCGTAGTGTTGTCTTTGTGATATTACATCTGCGATAGTGAAGCGCTTTAATTAATCCGCTGCCGGGATAAACGCTGGTTCCCACAGAGCCCGTCGAGGAATAACACTGCGTGTGGGTGTGTGATTGTGCGTGTGATACGCACGGATACGCTCGCGTGGGCCGCTCCATTAGAGTAGATGTTCATTAACAATGAAAACAATGGCGTGGTCGTTTTTAGGGCTGAACCCGCTGCGTCGTGGGTCCGTACACAGTCGGTCGGTCAGTCGTCACTTGTTTGTGTGTATTATGTCTACAATGATTGTTCCCCACAGGGTGAACCCTCAATTCATTTTTATGTATATTACTAGGTGACTTTATGTCTTAGCAGGAGCTCAGTTTTCCCTCATCCAGTAGAATATGTCAATAAGCTTTGGGTTGATTGGCACACGTTTATATTGCCCTGAATTTGGAATCCAAAAACTTTATATTTGATGATGTTGATCTTCTGAATGGCACCAACGGAGAGTCGTGAAACCTGCATCATTTTGATGAATTTGGAGATTTCCCTGAAGTTTCATTCCACAAACGGGTCAAAACAACTGGGAAATGTAGTTAACATTGGGAAAAAAAATTTTGTTCATGAAATATTAGAAGATTGTGAAAATGTTTGGCTAATAAATGTATCCTGATTCCTGATTCCTGACACTTTCCCAGAGCCGAGGTTGACCAATTGAATATTTTAGTTTTGACCATCCCAAGACCAAATTAAAAATTCTCATTTTACAAGCTAAAACCGGCACATTTGGCTATTTCTCTGCTTTAAAAGTTACAAACAATTAAACTAGTTTATAATGATTTACAGCTATTTGCAGATCGACTAACTAGTTGACAAACTGTTTCCACTCGGTTTAGATTTCTGTCCAAATACAGTTTTGCGGTTGCTGTGACATTTAAGTTGACTGCCCATTCTTAATATAATTATAATATATCTTAATATATAGTATTTTCCCTGTGTTTAACTGGGTTAAGCCTTTGACGCCGCGGCCCTTCGTATCCATATTGACGTGCGGCCGGGTCCCGCGTGCGGTCAGGGGGGAGGCACGTGTTCTCCCGCCTCCGCACAGCTGAGCTGCCCCGCATAGGAAAGGCTCCAGGAACCAGAGGGATAAACAGCCATTGTTCTCCCGGCGGGCTCGGTGAAGCCCCCCCCCCCCGTCAGTGTGAGGGCTCTCTGCCCACTTTCATGTCGATGCAAACGGCTAATAGAAAACAATGAGACCTGCTTTCCCAAGTGTCCACAAATGTGCGTTTTTGTCATACCAAAAAGCAGGTCAATCCCGCAGATACCCATGCCCCCCCCCACCCCCCTTTCAACCACCGTTACATAAGCACAATGCATCTCCATCTGGCAGCACACGGCGGTCTGCTTCGTTCTAATGCTCATCACACTCCACCCGCCGATGGCCAGTGAGTCGTGTGAAGAAACGGAGCCCGTTCTTCCTGCTCCGTCGTTGTGCGGCAGATTTATCAGGCAGGCTTGTTGCTCCGTCGTCGCCCTGGGGGGTCATCGGGGGGGGGCGGGAGTGCGTTTCATTAGGAAGTCTGCAATGCGACTGATTCCTTATGACGGACCTACGTTTCCAGAAAAGCAGCTCAATGAGCAAATTTGGGTCTTTAACACGGTGAAAGCTGTTAGCAGAGAGCAACTTGTCTGGTTGCACGAAAGGATCAGCTTTCTTATTAAATACCATTCGCCTTTACAGGCACACATCACTTTTCATGGAATTCTGGAGAGCGATTCGGTTCAAGATGCTTGGAACATCTTTTTTCATTAACTGTTTTTTTTTTTTTCCATCCTCAGACATCCGGTAAGCAGCAATGTCTCAGTCTGGAGAGAAAGGGAAGGTGAGTAACAGGCCCAAATGTCTCGCACACAGCACCGCTTTAGTATCCAGTATCCAGGAAGGATTTCTAGTAATTAACACTTTGACTTCTCCTAATCTCATGCATGCACACTCACAGGCATCCAGGGAGGATGTCCTGTATACGTGTGTAAGGCTTTATTGCCTGTTGAGTCGTCTCCACGATGGGAATCATCATTAATCTCACTCGTACACGCTCACTTGGAACACCTAATAAATTTCTGAAAAACCTCACGAGTTGTAAAACGTAGGAAACTGGATTAAACCAACACTAGTACCGTTACCTATTTTCATGACTTGTTCCATCATTTCTCATTCATTTCGAGCAATTAGCATGTTTTTAGCGTGTGTTTTTGGTGCCCCGCAGTTCCCCGATGCGGTGGGTTATGTCGGGTTCGCCAATCTCCCGAACCAAGTGCACCGAAAGTCCGTGAAAAAAGGCTTTGAATTCACCCTCATGGTTGCAGGTGAGGGATCGCTTGCTTCTTCTCAAGCTGATTTCTTTTTGAGAGAATAGTGTTTTTATTCTGCCTTCTTATTTATTTCAGGAGAGTCTGGTCTGGGCAAATCAACGCTTATAAACAGCCTGTTTCTCACTGACCTCTACCCCGAACGCTACATACCTGGTGCAGCAGGTACACAAACACACACACACACACACACACACACACACACACACACACACACACACACACACACATACACAAATATGCACACTGTAAAAATCAATAAATGTCTGGTGCAATGTCTCCAGCAGCGCATTATTTGGAGAAGAATGCTGGGAATGCCTGAGTCTCAAAATATGACCCGGCCCCCTCTTATGACTTGACTTAGGTTTGGACTTGTTATTATCCGGGCGCTCCCTGGTCTTCGTCTAAGCGTCTAAACTCTTTTAGATCACAAACCCCGTGATTTCACATCCACCCTCTTCTTCTGCGGCTTGTGTGATCACGTTTGGCATGAAAGCTCCGCTCGCCTGCCGCTAAATTGTTCCCGTGCTTCTGCTTCCGCAGAGAAGATTGAGAGGACGGTGCAGATCGAGGCGTCGACGGTGGAGATCGAGGAGCGAGGGGTGAAGCTTCGGCTCACCGTGGTCGACACCCCCGGATACGGCGACGCCATCAACAGCCAGGACTGGTGTGTGTCAGTGTTGGGGAGGGGGGGGAGGAGGGTGAACGGCCTCGGGCTCTCTCATCCTTCTCCCCCCTTGCTCAACCACTCCCTTTATCAAGTGCCATCCCGAAACCTCCTTACTCACTACCTCTCCTCCCTGTGCATTCCTTGTGTCTGCATTTCTTTCAACCAAATGTGTGCGTGCGCGCGCGCCCACGCGTGTGTCGTCCTCCCTTGTCCACTATCGAGGCGTAGCTGTAAATGCACTCATCCAACGAAGGCTAAGAGGACAGCAGTGCGAGGGAGTGGAAATGACAGCAACAAGCTAGAGCGATCGCCTCACAGCCGGGTCCAAACCCGCTGGGCGGAGCCTGCATGTTCTCCCTGTGTCTGACAGGACGGGTTAGTTGGTCACTGCTGAAATTGGCATAGAAGATGATGATGACCTGGTCTTTGCTTCATACCTGCAGAATATGTCTTCTCTCCTTTTAATACTTAGATATTTAATGTTCAATAGTTGTTGAGGTCTGCACTCACGCGAATACAATAGGCGGGTGTAATCGAGTTTGAATAACATTATGGGTGCGATTCCTTCGTTTAATGTCAAAACTCTCTCTGGCTTTATGCCGTCATCCGTCTAATAAAGACCAACAATGGAAACAAACCAATACAAGGACTAAAATAGAGAATTATATTGCGGTTGTTAACCATAGAACTAAACAAGACTTAAAGTAAACAATCTTTCCACATTTGGATATGCTACTTTTTATTTAATGCATGCATCAGTCAAACTCTGTCTTCATCTCTGGCATAATCACAATATGAATCACATAAGAATACTTTTATTCTTTAACTCGTCGAGTTTCTGCAACGATACAAACTGCAGCTGTAACTTGGCTCCTGCTGTAGGGTTTAAAGCAGCTTAAAACTGAATTCATTCCATCCATCCGATCATAAAATGATCTATAGGATGATTCAACACCAGTTATGTAGCTCATGAGGTGTGGAACCACACCGATTCATTAAGAGGGTGAAAACAATATTTGGCTCTTAGTTCCTCCTCAACGTTGTGCTTTATTCCTTTGTCATTTGAATATCCGTCATGTTTGTTCGACGTGACTTGAAGGGTCTCTCTGTCTCTTCATGTCAGCTTCAAAACCATCATCCAGTACATCGACAATCAGTTCGAGCGCTACCTCCACGACGAGAGCGGCCTGAACCGAAGACACATCGTGGACAACCGGGTGCACTGCTGCTTCTACTTCATATCTCCCTTTGGACACGGGTAAGCGCACACGCCCGCTCCGGCACATTGAAGACCGGACACGACTCCCCCCCCCCCCCCCTGTGTCCTCATGGTTCTTTGTCCATCCACCTGTCGCTGTGTTTGTCAGCCTGAAGCCTCTGGACGTGGAGTTCATGAAGGCCATCCACAGCAAAGTCAACATAGTCCCGGTCATCGCCAAGGCCGACACGCTGACGCTGAAGGAGAGGGACCGCCTGAAGAGACGGGTGGGTGCCGACGTCCACTCGCACACACACACGCAGACACACAATGTTTGATCTGTACACCGTATACTTCTCATCTTTGCCCTAGATATGATTTCCTGGCACAGCGATGTGTCCAGGATGTGTCTGTTTGTTGTTGTCCCCTCCACAGTTATGTGGTTTATCCATTAGAAAGGGGACCAGTGGATGAAACTCCTATCCATCCTCATCGACAGCCCGGTGTGTCACACCGCCGCGTACTTCCTCGCTTAATTGCGGCGAATCAGCAAGTACAGGGAGGGAGGACGTGCGAGAGGAAGCACTGGGGAGGGACTCGCGCAGGAAGACTGCTGTATATAATATTGAGGCAGCACATCTCATACACGTCTCGACCCGTTCCGGATACGTCCTGTTGGATGTCGCCCAGCGTGTCAGCCGGCCTGCGCACTCCTCAGCTTCCTGCTGTCTTTAGTGTGTGTGTGTGTGTGTGTGTGTGTGTGTGTGTGTGTGTGTGTGTGTGTGTGTGTGTGTGTGTGTGTGTGTGTGTTGGGGGGGTGGTCCAATGCGTCACAGCCTGCTACGCACTCACCCAACAGCTCAAACCTTTCAAGCATAAAGTGCCACAAACAGTGGCAAACTAGTTTCACTTCGATATTGTCGTGCGAGCAAAACAAGGAGTAGACTGTAGACTTAAATCAGAGCAATATGACAAAGTTTATTTGCAACAACAGTATTCTGTCCTGCAGTTTCACGTGCACGGATGTCAGGCAGTTTAACAACAAAATGAAAAAAGGCACTTAACACAAAGTGCGCTCGTATTATATAGTCTCTAAGAGCATTTTTGATTGGTTATTAAGACAGAGGCGGATCCTGCTCAGAACCCTCGGGGAGCCCCATTGGAGCACAGGGATGTCCATCCCTCTAGGCTTTTGGATCGACACGCCGCTCGTTGTTCGTATCAGGATGTTCGCAAGATGTGTGCAAGATGCTTAGCATATGAGCGATTGGTGTAGTTTTATGTATGGACAGGTTACTCTTAGAATGGGGAACAGGTGGTTCCTGTTGAACTGCATTCGACCCAGATGTGCGTGCATCTTTTTGCAACATGTTTGTGTGCTGGTGTTGTCACTTGAAATACATGTTGTTTGTGCAATCCGGCCTTTATGCGGCCTTCACCCATTATTACTATGCATTTATAGTTCAAGTGTAATTTCATTCTAGCGTAAGCGTGCATGTTTATATTTTAATACTCAACAATATTTACACTGGATATTCTTTGCCACTTGGTCGGCATTTAGCATCAGACTGACTCGCAGTGGGAAATGATCATCAGCTGCAGTCCTGGTTCAGGAAGAGGGGGGAAAAGCAGGCAGTGAATTGGCTGCCCAGACCTCCCACCTGCCTCTCATTGAGGTGTCGGTGCCGGTGGTCTGGCAGGGTGTCAGGGGACCGCCCCCCCCTCAGCAGGTCTGCTTTGTTCGAAGGCTCCCTCGTTCGGATTGCTCAAAATTGCTGATGTGGTAGGGTCTCAGGACGCACACGGGACATTTCTTAAGACGGCAACATTCCACAATACAATACCTTTATTTTTCACTCTGTAACACTAAATAGGATGGATTCTGGCTGTGAGGCGATAGTGCTAACCGCCACGCCACTCTAAGGGCAGGTTGTTTCTGTCATTTCAACTATGTAGTGTGTAGTAAATCTATTCTTCAGCTGCAACATTCCACTAACGGTGAGCAGTAAGAAGGACGAGCATCCAATGACGACAATACTGATAATGACCACCATAACCGTTGTGGTTCCAACCATAGAGCAATAAGGTGCGAGGCCTGACCGGGGCAGCGGGGAGGCGTGCGAGAGGCCCCTCACTCTGCCTGCGTGCATGTCGCCCCCCCCAAGATTCAAAGGTGAAATTCCTCAGCTGTGGCCTTAAGAGGCCCGCCCCCTTAATTGTGTTTTGAACTCCCTCAAACCTTCAGAGCTTTCCGCTGGCACTTCAGATTAACAAAACCGTGTTTCCTGCCGCCACCAACCGAATGCCCCCCCGACCCCTCCCTAAATCCACAGGCCTGTTGGCGTTCTGATCAGACGCATCGAAAAACGCATCGCGACAGCAGCAGAGCAGGAAATGATAAAAAAAGAATAGAAAAGCGGCACAGTGGAAATACCGCTCCATTAGCGCTCATGTGACCGACGTACTGTACAGATGTCCCACGGTTTGTTGACATGCTCCGCCTAGTGTCCCCTCAAGCGTCATTTCCTGCTCCACCTTAAGGAGCTGATGGACAAACTCCCGCACGTAGGCCCCTACACGCGAGGTCTATACGTGTTTCTCAACCCAAGCAGTTTAGGAATCAGATCTGATAACACACGATTGTGGGCGTTTTATTTAGTCTTGACCGTGTTCAGTGAACGTGAGCTCCTGGACGTGTTGTTGCAGGCAGGAAATTACAGAGGGTTAATTGAGCTGTCTTGGCATTTTATCTACTGCTGCACATACACAACTTTTATCTCCATCTCAATTTGAGCCTCTGTACAATCGGGCGTCTCTTGACGTGCAGCCCTGATTTAAAGCCACCGAATCTGATGCGTTTATATATTTAAATAATAACATTGCCCCCCCGGCTCACGAGACATGATCTTAACGCGGCTATAATCCTGCACGTGCAACCTGAATATGTTACCGTCCAACATGATGTGCTTTCACGAAGGGAGCAGCAGAACGAATGGCTCCTCATAGCCGCATGTTTTATTTTAGAACAAACCATTGAAGCAGCAGAAGTACACGGGACAACTATTAGAAGGGCTTCTTATTGTTTGCCTTCACACATGGATCACGTTGTCTGATTGCTCCGCAATGCGCATTCGTGTGTCTCAGGGGAACAAACATATTTGTTGTTCGGTCCGAGTAGCTGAAGTGGCTCTTAAGTCGTCCCGCCAGGAACCTGCCACAAAGCTCCGGTGCTGGAGGATGATTGATCTCCCCCAGCGATCCTCCCGCACTCTTTATTAGTTATTGTTTTTTTTCTACAGGGCCACTTTCTCACCACCAGAAACCGTTGGTCCCTTTCTCCTATTATTACGGGGGGAAGCAGCTTGTACAGAAGGATACAAGTTTCCTGCTATTCGTCAGGACTGTTCCGCTGACGAGACACGACCTGCTGCCCTCCTCGCGGCTCGGACCACCGGGACTAATCGCCCAGCTTCCATCCTCTTGGTTCGGCGCTCTCCTCTCGCCCCACTCCTTCCTCTCCCGGCAGCCTCCCGCCTCACGTGTTTCTTCCTCTGCCTCCTGATGTCCCCTTGTTTTTTTGTTGCTCTAAGGCCAATTTCCTTCTGCGGGGTCGCTGCGGCCTCCGTCTCATAAGTTGCCTTGCGGAGGGCATATTGAGGGACTGATCCTCTCAGTCGGGGATCTTTTAGTCATATCCTGTGCTGGGCTTTAGTCTCCAACTGCTGTTTGATGGGAGGAGAACCGAACACTGCTGCTTCAGACTGGAATCCTGATGGAGGCAGAGTGCCTTTGCGTCTAGCCCCCCGCCCCCCCCGCCTATACGATTCTGTCCCTAGAACAATTTGGCCACTTTTGTCTCAACATTTTCCAGCTTCTCAGTGCTGATAATGTGCTGCTGTTGTTCTTGTGTAGATAACTGACAGGTATTCGAGGAAAACAAACAATTGAAAGGCAAAGCGCTCGGCTCTGGGAAATGTCCCATCGGGGCACATTATCAGCGCCGCGCTGCGGCTGCCAACGCGTCTGAAAACAAATCCCGACGACAGAAAGTCAAGGACTCAAAACAAAGAGGCAGCGCCACACAATGACGTGTAGTTTGATGTTAAAACCTCTCGTGCGCGTCTCAGCAGGCGCCCCGAGAATAACGGCGGTGAACACGCCGGGCGTGTCTGCGTGTGAGGGTCAGTTCCCCGGGTCAGTCTGTGCCTGCTCCTTTTTCCTGCCAGTGTTAGAAACACGCGGATGTATTTATTTTTCTGCCATCCACGGTCATTGTGCAATGCTCCACGTCTCTGCGGATTCAAACAAAACCAATGTGGGCTTTTCCCCTCGCTGAGCGGCTCCGTCACACACTCACACACTGTCGTCCGGAGACATTCCAGCGTGACCGCAGGTTTCCCTGTCCGAGGGTCAACCTCTAAACGCGCCTCTCACGGGTCCCCTTTGGGCTCCTGACCCCCTTTGATCACTGGGCCGAGTCACTAACGAGGACCCCCGACGCGTGGCTGAGACCCCGAACCGACGGCGCGTAGATCTCACGCGGACGCGAGATTACGTGAACGGCCGGATTGTTCCTCTTTGATCAGAGCGAGAGGTGGGTGGTCTTACCCGGACTAACACATCGGCCCAGACAATGGGCGTGTGGGTGGGAGCGCGTGTGCGCCTGCGAACGAGGATCACCGTAACTAACGAGTCCTCCACGTTGCCATGGTGCCGGTGACAAACAACCCCAGCTGTTGTGTTCGGGTGGACCCGTTGGTTCTCAGACTGAGTGTGTGTCTGGAATGTGTGGTTCAAGCGTGCGCGTGTCTCTAGTCCTGCGAACAGAAAGGTCAGCGCTGTACCTCCAGAAGGGGGGGGGGGGGGTCACAGGGGTTTGGATCCGGAGACGGTCCCGAAGGTCCGTCCTCTCTCCCCGATGACCCAGCAGCCCCAAAGCTTCAACCGCATCAGTCTCGCCACGCCAGATTAAACCAGTTCTCCTGCTGAGCGTGCGTGTGTGCGCGTGCGTGTGCCCGTGTAGGAAGCTGATATGAGGTCTAAATCCTTCCGCCTCCCCCCCCCCCCTAGCTCAGGTATTGTTCGGGCTCTCTCACCCCCCCCCACATGGTCTCCCTGCGGGCTGCACAGAGCCAGTTAGTCAGAAAGGGATTTCCTGGCAAGAGAGAACGTCCTGAAGTTCGCATCCGACTAGATCTTACTTTTTCATTTATTCATTTTTCTTCAGGTTCACGCTGACACGAGACCGACACTTTACGCTTTAGCTGCAGATTATTCCTTTCTCACGGCTCCCAAATGAAATCCACAGCAAACCTCTGACATGGGGACATGAAGTAATCGGTTTCCCGGACGAAGTTGACGTGATCGACCACTCAGCTGTAACTGACCGGGGTGGTGTAGAGATTCATTTAGTTCTTGTGACGGACTCAAGTGCTTAAGTGCTCCGCTGCAGTTTATCTCTCCAAGCTCGATTGTGTCGATTGTGATCGGTGCTGGGTGCCGAAGACGCTTCCTGTCTTACACCGGCTACAGGTCAGCTCTCTCCTCTGATGTGTGCCTCTGTGGTAGCAGGTGCAGAGGACGCATGGAGCCCCTCGGGGGCTCTCATGAGGGACGGAGAGAGCTCTCAGCCCGAGCGGATTGAACGCTCCTCATCATTGGGTTTTCCTTTTTAATTTTTTTTAATGAAACTTTGAGAAAGAGGCCTCTCGTTGCTCAAGGTGGCTTTCTCAGCATGGCAACGATGCGCCGTGTTCTGCTCACCCAGAAGCTGGCAGGCCCCCGCCAGGTTACATAAACGTTGCGTAGAAGTGCCTCCGAATTCCTGATCCTCGCTGTTCTCAGTCAGGGTTGATTAGTGTCGTCTGATTGTTTTGTGTTTGGAGTCTCTCTCTCTCTCTCTCTCTCTCTCTCTCTCTCTCTCTCTCTCTCTCTCTCTCGCCCTCCCTTGCTGGTAGAACGCTCTGGGACAAGTTTCTACTTCCAAGTATTGTTCTCTCTGTTTCAGCTGGGCTCGACACGAGCACCAGGCCAGAGGCTGCGTGCTCCACCACCTCTCTGGCTCCGCCCCCTCACCCCCTCCCCGCCCCCCTGAGCTCAGGCAGGCGGTTTACCTGCCGGGTACGTCGCGGGTACCAGCGCGGTTGGCCGTCGCTTAGCGGGTGTTTTTGAGTCATTGGTGTTTTTCGTGGTTTTGCGCTTTGTGAGGACGAACCAATGCAGACAAATATTATTGCCGGCCCTCACGAGGTGGACGCGCTGATCCCCGTAATGACGGCTTTGTGTCCTGTTTCGTTATGATTGGAGGGCGGTTAAAACTGTAATTACATCTATGTATAGACCTGCGGGTTTGCTATATTTGGGGCGACGCACAACCACCACACGCAGCGTCTTTGCTCTTCCTTGAAGGGAAACGAGTGCGACCGTTCCTAGCGGCCCCCCCCCGCCCCGCTTATCGCGCCCCGTAAATCTTCCCCTTCATTGTTTGCGCGTGAAGTGAACCTGCACGGCCAACCACGACAGCAAGCGCCAACGTAAATACAGAACTGGAACCTGTGACATCAGGGATCCCGGCCGACACACAGTGAAGCAACAGGGGGGAGACGGGGGGGGGGGCTTTGGAGCAGGCGGTGATTTGGACGTCCCATGATCCTCTAGAGGCGGTGATTACAGGTGTCGGGCCGTTGGCAAACAGGTAAACAGCCATTTGGCAGCTTTGCAGTGGCGAGGTCTGAGAACAGATGATGGCAAACAATGGGGCTGTGTTTGTGGGACTGCTGTGATCACTTCCTGGATCATTTATAGTAGTTTGCATTCAGAAAATAGGAGTTTTTATTGGTTGTGCATTTAACTTGTTCAGCCTGGTCTTTTTTGTCTTCTTTTTTTTTGGCTTTCTCTCCTGTATTTTGTTTGCCTCAACCTTATCTGCTCGTGTGACTGGATTCGTTGTTTGTTTATTTCTTTTTTTTCATCTATTTGTTTTCCTCCCATTGTGTCACTTGTGTTTATCCCCCCCTCCCCCCTTTTCCTTTTCCCCTAACTTCTCCAGGCTGCTCGTTGGATGAAGCTGTAACTCTGAGAAAGAGTCCTGAGTCATGCAAAGCCTGTTTTATTTTTTTACAACAATGACCAAGTCCACACACACACACACACACACACACACACACATTACACACGTTACGTACAGAGCTCACTGAGAAAACAAGCGGCAGCCATAACACCGAAGCTGCGCTCTGCAGGAGAGCCTGTGCTCACTTCCCGGGCTCCCGGCTGACTGACCACTTTCCTGTTACACGCTGCTGTACATGAAAGCCCCCCCTCCCCTCAAAAAAAAAAGGAGGCAAACAAAACGTGGCATTTTTTGGCTTCCTTACACAAGAATACGTTGTACATTTCAATGTTCTGCTCTCGGGGTGGAAGAAACAAAAGAAGAAATGCGGCTTTGATGTTTGGAATAATAAATAGTGACATCTGTCCCAGAGGTAGCCGAGAAGAAAGCGCCTATTGTTTCAATTTGTTTCTGTACCGGTCGGCGCCGTTAACAAAGCAGGGTGAGAACTTTCTGACTCCGAAAACACACACACACACACACGCCACCAGAGGCCATTATTAATTTTTCACCTGTCTACCCTTTCTGTCTCAACCCCTCTTGTGCTCCACGGGGGGCTTTAATTAAATCTGTTGCTTCAACAAACGGGCCTCGCTCGCACCCTCCTGTTAGTCTAAAGCTCCACTTTCTGTTGGGAGGAGCGCAGGACCGGTTATTTTTTGTCCATAAGACTCCTAACTTGTTTTCTATCCGAATCGCTGCTTTAGAGAAATAAAGGAAGGTTTTGCTATGAAGGGATTAACTGCAGCTCCAAGTTGAAGATGAGACAATTACAGAAACAAGCGCATATAAGTGACTTGAACACTGAATCTAGTTTGTGCTGAGCATCCACTACACTTAAAAAGAATGCGGGGAACAGATATTTAGACCGGCCGGCTCCACCAGTCGACAGGTGGCGTCAGGTCGCTATGGGGTCACGCCGGCTCACCCCCTGCTGTCCCTCCTGTTTCCACCCCTCAGATCCTGGACGAGATCGCGGAGCAAGGGATCAGGATCTACCAGCTGCCCGACGCCGACTCTGACGAGGACGAGGAGTTCAAGGAGCAGACCCGGGTCCTGAAGGTGAGCGGTGGGAGACACGGAGCTACGTCGGACTCTTCCCCCCCGCTGCTGGTTTAGCAGTTTGTCCTGGCCTCCACCTCGCTTCACCCCCGTCCTCCTCGATACCCCTTTTCCACATTGCCTCCCCTGATTTCATCTGATATTTTCGTCTTCCTCTGCCAGGCGAGCATTCCCTTTGCTGTGATTGGCTCCAACCAGCTGATTGAGGTGAAGGGGAAGAAGATCCGAGGCCGTCTCTACCCCTGGGGGGTCGTTGAGGTGGAGAACCCCGAGCACAATGACTTCCTCAAACTACGCACCATGCTTGTGTGAGTGTCCCCGGGGCGAAAACTTCATCTTCCTTAAGCTGGTTATTAGAAACATCAACATGCAGCGAAGCTCTACTGCCTCCCAGTGTGTGACGAAAGGATCGCATGCCTTGTTTTTCGTTGCAGGACTCACATGCAAGACCTCCAGGAGGTCACCCAGGATCTGCACTACGAGAACTTCCGCTCAGAGAGGCTGAAGAGGACGGGCAGGTGAGACGCTGGTTCATATGCATCCCTTACGGCAGCACGCCGGCCGCTCTGTGGCGACCGGGGTTTTTCTCACCTCCGCGTTTGGGTTCTCTGCAGGGACGTGGACGAGGACGAGGTGGACAAAGACCAGATCCTGCTGCAGAAAGAGGCAGAGGTAAGAACACACACGCTGAGTCTCAGTTGGTCCAGGAAGTGGAAAGCTGTAAGTACAAAAGCAGAGAGGACCAGAGGGTCGAGATAATAACAGATTCATACTCGCGTCATACTAGCAGGCAATAATGCAACTCTACTGTGTTGGAATTGTATCGTAGTTGCAATGAGTCTGAAATATGCCCTCCTGCTTTGGGGAATGTTAGGAACTTATTCCACATTTCAATGTCCATTGTAAACAAACACTAGTGACCTTTAACCTGTAAATGCAGACTTCCGGCTGTGCAGAATAACTGGGCTGTCATCTTTTTTTGTCGATGTGACATCATAGGACGTTACCGCCTGGCTGTCAATTCTTCAGTGGGACTTTGTGTTCTAACCACCCTGATGTCTTCGATATGTAGTGTTTACATTTTAGGAGCCTGCAAGTCCCCAGGCAATAACCTGCTTCCTGATTGCTCTTGACGGGCCTGTTTGCGTCCCACAGTGCACCCACAGTGTACCCTAGTGGGCCAGTGGGTGGGGTCCAATCAAGCTGTTAGTAAACAATGTGCCCGTGGGCAGGATGTGCCATCACGTCCTGCTCGGATGTCCCGGCCCGGTTTTATTGTGGGAATGACTTCAGTGCCGTGAGGAGACAGCGGCCCATTTGTTTACGTGCTGTCAGGGTTTTGACTGCGAGGACTGATTGGTAGCTGTTGTTCTTACTGCATGGAAATTGTATTTAGTGCTTTTCATCGTCAAAAGTCACAAAGGGCTCATAAAGGAGTGTTATTTCAAAGAGGGAAAACATGAATAAGTGGTGCTTAAGGCGAGTGCATGGGACTGACTAATGTTATACATAAATATTATATATACCAACCTGGAGACGCATTGAATCCATTTTCTGTGGAAAATGAGAGCCAAATCAATGTGCAATTATTCCAGAATTGGTCTAATTTTATTTAGCTGAGAAGGATCTAATTCTTTCATCAAAGATCCTCAAAATACATAACAAAACTTGTTTGAAACGGGTGAATTTGGTTCAGTTGCCAAAGTGTTTGTTTGCTCCTTCAGCCAGCGGCTGCAGGCTTGTGTGCGTTGTTCTGTGGTCAGTTTGTTACATAAGAGCAGACTGCACATCTTTTAAAATCAGACCCCTCACAGGGGAACACATACGATAATCGTCCTAAATGTTCTGGGAAATGATCTGTAGAGATTATTGGGAACTCTAATGTAGAAGTTCTAAACAAAAAAACAACACTTTATTTGACCGTGATGATTTCCTAGAGATCAACAAATAAATCCTGATTATTACAATTAACGATTAATTGGCAGAAGTCGTTCCATTTGTCTCCCTGTGTGGATGACAATTAGAAGCCAAAATGCAATTTACTCAATATCACGCATAAGGTTGAAAGATAAACATTGACTAAATCGATCCCAATGTTTGCAATCATTAGGATTTTGTTCACACATTGCGGATTTTCAAAACACGTTTGGTGGAAGAGAAAAGGATAAATCCTGTAGTGCTACTTTAAAGTACCGTTCTGAGCCACAAGATGGCGACGGACATGAGCGAGAGACATGAGAGCTCATTGATTGACAGCGTGACCGTTGATGACTTTAAAGCTTTACATCCTCACTGTCCCGCTCATAACATCATTTTCCCGTTGTTGCCCTTTAATCAACATCTGTTTACAATATAATGTATTGTTTGACGTTGGTTTATACTTCATTTCCAGACACTTTCCTTTCAACCACTGATAGAATTAGATTTTAGATTGTGATATTATGTATTAAACATAGTGATTGTGTCTTTATTTACAGGAAAGTCACTGGTTATTTAGTAAAAGGAAAGAACACTTTATGACTTGAAGTCTTTGGTGGTTTTTCACTTTGGCGATGTGTTTAGGTGCCAAGTGTCATCACCAGTCAGCGTGTCACTTCCTGTCTTGGTCGGTCATTGTGGTCGAAACACGTTGCACGTTAATTCTAACTCTAAAGGTTGCTGAGCACGTTTTTAGAACTCCAGCATCTGATTGGTCAAACGTGTCAGTTCCTTTCTGTCTTTATTTAATCTACAAAGTGAAACCGCAATAATAACTTGTTTCCTTTTTTATTTTTATATTACATTTAGAGATGAAGTATTTAGAGAGTAAATATTGCCAGTCACTCAAAATATTAGATTAAGTGAGTTAAGTCTTCACAAAGCTGAGGCTGTTTCTCAGCCCGGGGGAAGTGGACATTTTCAGGTTTTAACACGATCAGTGACATTATGCTAATGAGGCCCGTCATAAGACAGGAATGCAAACACCAATTTCTCACACTGAACGAAAAGATCTGACTTCGGTCCGAGCCGCGCTGGTTCCTCTTCTACTTCCCCGTCGGCCGTAGCCGAGGTTGGGTTGTACTTTAACTTACATGTTAGGTCCTAAAGAAACACAAAGGGAAGCCTTTCAGACTGCACTTGTTATAATGGATATATAAGATATATCAGGTTCATCAAAAGTAACCTGTTTTGTTTCTTGTCTCTGTAGCTGAGACGCATGCAGCAGATGATCGCTCAGATGCAGGCGCAGATGAAGATGAAATCAGACGAGTGAAAGAGGCGCAGCACAAGGGAGACGCAGTGACACCCCCGCACACACCCCCGCACACACGCACGCACACACACACACACACACACACGGTCCTCCTCTGAATCCATCCCTCCACATCCACCAGGTCTCCAGGATCACACCGTCTTTATCTGCACTCCTCCTCCTCCTTCTCCAACAACCCACGTCTCGATTTGACTGACTGTCCCGTCTCTCGTGTGCCAGTTTTAATGACGTGACAATGTTATATGTTCTTTAGTCTTTAGCATGACCATGCAGAGCTGTCTCTATGGTACTAAGAGCGTGTTCCACCACACTATCATGTTTACTCTATACTTTTTGAACTTTGTTCCAGTCCAGTTTTGTTCCATTTACGCTTAGTTTTGCCATTAAGTTAAGATTGTTTGAACATAGTTTAGAAATAGTTCCCATGCTTTCTATCAGCTAATGCGTGATTCAGTTGGCCGTCTTTAACTGTGGACGGGTTCATTGTGGTGATGCAATAACTAAATATTACCACAGTGAACTCACTTAAGTGTGCTTATGAATAATCTGTAAGCAGAGAACAGCTGTTTGTCTTTAACTGTGTTAAAACTAGCAACCGTATTTTGTAGCAAACACTAAAAACTTAATTCCATGCTTTTGTTTAGCTTTTGAGCTGGAAAGCTGCTACATGCGAGCTTTAGGATCATTGTTTAGTCGAATATAAAGGGACATGTTGTTCATATTTTTTGTATTTATCATCAAGAGCTGCACAATCTTTAATGTTGGTGCCAAACGAAACATTCGGACTGAAAACTAATCACACTATTCAGTCCAGATACTTCCCCACATTTGCTTCATGGGTGTCTTTTAAAATGTTGGCTCGGTGCCTGTCACCATACTGTATTCAGGCTCATTTAAAAGTCAAATACTTTACCGTTATATGGCTTAATGGCCTCCAGCCTTTTAGCAGTGCCATCCAACATCAAAGTCACAATTATTATTATATCCTGATCATGTTTAGACTTGTTTTTAAAATGTTTTTTGTATCTCTCCTGAATAAAATGTGTTTAAAGAAAAGAGTGTGGACATGTGTGACTTTTGAATAACATCAGATATTTAACGGTAGTTAGTTAACATGAGAAAGAAATGTCTTCTCACCTGAATATAAACCATTGGTGATGCCTGATTTCTTCGGTATATTTGTTTTCAGTGTTTTTATACTGACAACTATGGATTTTAATCATCTAATTATTATGGAAATGGATGGATTTTCCGATGCCAAGAACTTGAACGTATTAGAAACCCTGGAAGAACTCCACAATTGTTCTTAGCAACACAATTCAAGATATTCTAAATGTTTAAAACAATGATTAAGGACTTGTGACCAGGTTATATAGCAAAGGTCTTCTTTGGGATGTAATAAAGTCAAATAGAAACAAAGGGTGTTGATTGTAAAATATCCGATTGAAATGAATATGCGGATTCTCAAGTATTTATTCTAAATGACCCCCCCTCTCTTATGCCTCCTTTCCAAAAACTAAAATGTGTGACGACCCTCCGCAGCGCTGATGTGCAGACCGCGGAGGGTGAACGCAAGTCGGTGAGGTCGCTTTGCAGCGCCGCCATTGGCTGAGCCCGCGTGGTGGCTGACGAGGGGGCGGGACTTTCATCCGTCGTCCTCGCGCCGCCCCCCCGCACGTCCGTCCGGGCTTTTGGAGGCGAGGGGGCCGCCTTCTGAGAGCAGTCGCTTCGGTGCTATCGAGTGGAGGAGAGCGCTCAACATGACGGCCAACATCCGGTACAAGAGCCGCATCCCGGTTAAAACAGGTGAGCGTGCGTTCCTTTTTGTTGTTGTTTTTTTTGCAATTTGAATTCCCGGCCGTGTGTTTTATTGAGCGCGTGGACGCGGTTGTCTGACTGCTTCAATGCTTCTGTCTCCCCGGGGCGCCGCGCCGCATCCCTGCACCTGCGCCTCCATCCCGTGACGGCCAGCAGAGGACGGCACGGAGGTGAGCCACGTCCTTTATTCTGTGTCTGATCAAGTGCTGATGAGAATGCCCCCCCCTCCCTCCCTCCCCCGGTGAGGTGCGTTGTCGCGGTTCAGCCCGGCGCTGCACGGCCCCGGTTTGCACGGCGCATGCTGATGTTGCGGTTCGGATATGCCCGTTTTCCTGCCGGTGTTCTAAACGCATGATGCTGCTGTGAGGGCATGGATGCTCGGAAGCCCTCACAGGCTGATCTGGGATCAGCAGAGAGACAGCCGGTATGAGGGGGGGCGAGGGGTGTTTTCATTTTTAGACTCGTATGTGGAGCAGGCCGGCGTCAAGGCGCAGAGCCAACGCGGTACCCAAAAGGCAGCATCCCTCTCCTCCTCTCCTCCTCCTCCTCGCGCTCCTCGTTAGATTCATCATGGATGGTCGGTCTTGAGTCCAGCCTAATTATCACGGCTCGCGATCACAGTCACGGGCAGGGGAGCCTCACCGGCCATTGTTCAGCTCAGGAACACAGCCGCCACACGAGCAGGCAGTGGGAGCTCGCATTTCTGATGACCCCCCCCCCCTCCCCCCCCGGGCCTTCCTCCTCCTCCCCCTTCTCCCCCCCCCCCCTTCTCCTCCTCCCCTCTTCCTCTTTGCCTGTAGTGGCCGATGACAGCATTTGCACATGCTGAGTGTGCATGCTGATTAAACGAAACCTGACTGCCAATAGACTAAAAATAGTGTCCCTCGATGAAGCAGCAATAGAGAGCCAGAGGTTAAAAAAACAAAAAAACATAGTCAAGCTGACAACCGTTAAGCTAAAAAAATGGACGTTGTCAAGTCTGCAAAATGCTCTACTAGAACACATATTTTATATTTCAATACGGTAATTCCTGAAGATATCCAAACGAGATGAAGTAATGTGTCATAACATGGAACTGACGCAGGGGGAACGCATTCACACTGTATTTAATACACAGCCTTGGTTGGCGATGGCGGCTGGAAGACGCCTCCTGGATGGAGACACAGGCGGATGCATTGCTCAGGGGGGAGTTTGGCCCGTCCTTCCACACAAAGTCTTCAAATCTTGAAGGTTCATGGGGCTTCTTCTATGAACTACGGCTGAAACATTCTAGCAGCTTTATTTTCTTGTTTCCTTGGCTGTGTTTGGGATCATTGTCCAGTTGAGATGTGCACCCTGGTGTCATCTTCATCATGCTGGTAGATGGCAGACTTTTATCCAGCGTGTCTCAGTACATTTTTCCATTCATCCTCCCTTATATGAAGTTGCTCGTTTGCAGCAGTGGATTCTGGAGTGGTGAGCGTGCACACAGGCCATGACGGTTGAGAGCATTACTTACTGTTTTCTTTGAAACGATGGTGCTAATCCCGGGTCTTTCTGAAGCGAGTGGTCCTTAACTCTTGGCAACACTTCTCGCAATTATTTTCACTCCTCTGTCAGAAATCTTGCGAGGAGCACCTGCTCGTGGCCGGTTTATGGCGTGTAGAGGTTTTTTCTACTTCTACTACTACCGGATTGTGGGCCCAACAATGCTCACTGGAACATGCAGACGTTTGAAATATTTCTGTTGCATGCTTTTCCCATCATGAGATGTTTCTTGTGGGACACCTTGGTAATGAGACACCTTTATATGGGCCATTACTTGGGACTGAACCAGCTTATGTTCATTTGCATGACGAGGGGTCGGAGTGCTTTGTTATTACTGATAGCATTCCATTTTATTACACATAACTTAATTTCTAAACTTATTTGTTGAGATTTCTTTAGATGTCTGAAATACATGGGTTGGTTGTTAACGACATGGTGAAAATTGCCAATGTCAATTGCAGCTTTAGAAATGTTTTTACTAAGAAAATGGTGACGTATTCAATAATTATTTTTGTTTGTGGAAAAAAATGTATTCGTAAAATGTACTCTAAGTATCGAAGGGGAAAGTACTCATCATGCAGAATCAAACCCTTTTAGAACATTTTTAATGCTTTTTGTCTGACAGTCGAGAAATGACCGTAAATTGAGAGACACAGAGACATGAACAGTATATTATGAGAAAATGGCCAATTACATCAGCAAAGGAAGTAGTAACAGTAGCTGTAAAATAAACGTGTGGAGCGGTAAAAAGGCTGAAAATACTATTCATTCTATCGACACAGGAGGACTCAAATGCAGATTTAAAGAACACTCGTACTTTATCAATACAAAAATCAAAAAAATGCCCATGTGCAAGTCGCAGAGGAGCAAACAAAAACTCACCGACACTCAAAAGCAACATGTCAACTGACAAGAGACGAGGGACACATGGTTTAAATTGGGACAGCCATGTGAGGACAGGAGGAAACAATAAAGGCCGGGAAGTGAAGTTAACCCAGGGACATGAGAGGCAGGAAACTACAAAATAAAACGGGAAACGAGCCCACACCGTGACGCATGCGTTTCTTCACTCTGTCATATTCGGCACTGGGCAGTAGAAATGTTTCCATCTTCATCATCGTGCTGCATTCAGTCTCCTCTTTGCCCCTCGTCCTCGCTACAGGCAGACTTTCTGGTTTCAGAAAGATTTACCGTCCCCCAAATATTCACAGTTGGACCAAAGCCTATAGCTGAAATCATTGTGATCACATGGTGTCACCACCAACGTAACACACACACACACACACACACACACACACACGTTTATGCGTGGATTGCGGAAAAACCTGGATTAGTGTGATTGTTGCAGAGTGATGGGCTTGTTCTAAGATCTCTGCCAGAGGGGGGCGCCACTTCCCCCGCCGTAGTGTTATGAAATACAATCGACGCCTCATATTGGCCGTTAAATGCTTCCTGCTTCCTACATTGCAGAAGAGAGGATCCATTTGCAATTGCAAGCAAGAGTCCGAACTGAATCAAGGGTTGGTCCCTTGAGGCTCCTACAGTCCAATTCAGATTAGTGAAGATGAATGATGTATATATATATATATATATTAAATGTGACTTGCTGCAGCCCCGGGAGTGCCTTGAGTGCCTTGAGGGCCTTGAGTCCAGGGTCATAGATGCCCTGTAAATGTAGGGCTTGGTCTTCAGTGGTATTCACGGTTGGCCGTGGACAGGCCAGCAGAGAGGCACAATGGAACACATAATCTCCTCAGGCCTCCCTGGTGGAGATTACAACCTCAAACTACAATCAGTCTGCCATGAACCCACTCCTCAATGCGCAGTGATTCACTTGTGCTCTTTTTTTTTAGATCACTGCAGTTTGGCCACTCGGCTTTCAGCCGCTCTTAACTCCCACATGCTGCATCTGACCTGCAACTCTCATGTTGTGGATAATCCCGAGTGCGGAGGAGGAGGAGGAGGACTAAAAAAAAGAGAGTAACATTTGTCAGTGAATGCTGGGATCATAGTCGATGAAAGAATCATGAATGATAATCAATTGAAACTAGAAATGTTTGCAACGTACCCCTTCCCTTTTCTCCTCCTGCTGTTTCCCCGTCTTCACCTCACATCGCCCCAAACAGTCCCGCCACTCCCTTTGCTGTCATATTACGTTGCCAGGCAACAGTCCTTTTTTAAATCCATTTTTATCAGAGTGTGCGTGAACGACACCATCTGATCTGCTGTGATTGTTCTTCTGCGTGATTATTTACCGAATAACAGTCGCTGTAGCCACAAGCAGCCTCGAGCGTGTTTACAACTAAGAACTGGATATTTCTCACTTCACCCGTCAATCTGTTAGGAAGAGGGATCCATCTTATTATCGTTGTTCCTGCTGCTTTTTCCCTCTTTTATTTGGTGATAGTTTGACAATATCGACCATCATAGGACAGATGGTGTTGTACAGATTTGAAAAAATATTGATTTTGGTCAAAAATCAAAACCTTGGATTCTCACTAAAAATCAGTCTTTGCTGATGTGGCAGTGTAAGGGTACCACGTTTTAACAAGGCGGCATTTATATATTTTTAAGGGTCTATAGGTTGTAACATTGACTTTACTAGTGGTTAATAAGTCATTTAGTGCTTTATAGATCAATTTAGTTATTAATAAGAAAAACACCAGGTTGTGGAAAATCTTGTTTTGCCCTTTTGCTCATCCAGTTGACCT